CCTATTGATCAGCAGGCGGTCGGACGCCTCCACCACCGCACGCTTTGCCTCGTCAGCCTTGACCTTGGCTGCTGCAAGCCTCCGGAGTGCCGTGTCGCACATCGTGTCGTTCAGCGCATTCTCTCTCTGCTCGCGCTCTGCGGCCTGCGCGGCCTCCAAATTCAATCGCAGCGTGTCGCTATCCGGACAAAGATCTTCAGCCGATGAGCGAGATGCGCCTCGTACACGCACCAAAGCCGCTCGTAGATCGCCGTGTTGGCGTTCGCGAGCATGACCATGCGCGGCTTCGGTTCGCTGTTCAAGACCTTGTAGAAGGGCGATGTCTCCACCCTTCCGTGCAGCGGACTCAGGTCGAGGCACTGCGGGTTGGAGAGGCAGCAGAAGTAGGCCCCATGGCAGTTTTCCGGCCAGTGCTTGAGTGCCGAGTCGATGAACTCGTACACGCCTTCATCCCACGCGTGGGAGAAGAACAGGTCGCAACGCAGCCCGCCGGTCCTGAGGTTCTGCAGCACTGCATAGCTCGCCCCGGGCAGCCGAGCATGCAATTGGCATGCTCAGCGGTGCACGGCTTGATCAGCCCCTCGATTACCTGGTGCATATTCGGCCCGATTGCTGGGTTGTAGAACTTGACGCTTGTTATCGTCCGACTGCCCGCGGATCATGGTTCGCGACGCTTGCACGGCCCGAAGGACACCGCGAGCCGCGCTGCACACAGCCTGATTCACCAATCACAGCCGGAATGAGAGGCAGCCCAGCGCCTTCGCCGAGCTTCAGCACGGAGTCGGCAAGCTTTAGGCCTGTCTCGACCTTTCCGAGCGCCCGCTCCACTGACGCGAGGCGCTCGACGCCTCCCTCCATGTCCAGGGCTTTCGTTGCCAAGGCGGGGGGGGGGGGGAGAGATGGCTGATGGGCGGGCAGGTAAGTGTGTAACTTCGCTCCCCTGTGTCCCCAGTCGTTGGGGTCAGACTGTGTTTCGCTTTCGTAACTAGCTAACTTGTGTGTGTATGGAGGAATTAGAGACGTACCTTGCCCCGGGCTCCCAGCCGGCGTCAGCTAGTCCCATCATCGCCACTATCTCCCATGCCACCATCGATCGCAACCTCGTCGCCGGCGCCGCCCCCAGCGGCCGCGGCCGCGAAACCGGACGCGGCGGCGGTGGCGACCACCCCGCCCTGCAGCTCCTGCAGCGCCTCGGACGCGGGCTGCGGGTTCCCTCCCGACGCGGGCCGCTCATGCCCCTCGTGCCGCGGCGACGCGGTTGGCTCGTCTGGCTGCTGCGCCCGCCCCACCGGCCGGGTGGCCTCTGGCATCCAGCCGCCGCCCCTTCGCCACCGCTCGGAGCCGACGTTGGTCTCCTGCAACAGCGTCGCCGCGTTAATGCCTACGATGCCCGCGTCGCGCAGCAGCGGCGCCTCGTTCGAGAAGGGGTCGAGGAAGAGCTTGGCGAGCGAGACAATGGAGGAGTGGAAGAGCGTCACGACAGACGTGCCCAGCACGGCACCGAAGCCGCCGACGGAGTGGACGAGCGCAAAGGGCGTGCAGAAGATGAGCAGGTCGGTCAGGATCTGAACCAGCTGCACGTACGCGAGCGGCATGCGCCCGGAGAGCTGGTCCGGGATCGAGGCGTACGTGGAGCGCAGCTCGACGAGCTTGTTCTGCAGCGCCATCTGCAGCGCGATCGGCGAAGTGCCCTGCAGCCGCGAGACCGAAACGCCCAGCCGACCGTCGCCGACCGACGTGTCGAAGAGATTTGAGAGCCACTCGAGGACGGCGTTGTGCATCTGCGCCGAAGCGAGCAGCCCGTCCTTCTCATCCGCCGTCAGCGCGCCAAGGTCGATCAGCGCGTCGAGGCCTTGCGGCGACTGCAGCGGCGCGAATTGCGTGGTGACGGAGGCGTAGAAGAGAATGTTGAAGAGGCGGACGTACCGCGCCACCGTCCGCAGCGTCTCCTCGGCCTCCGACGTGTAGGAGCCCGTGGCGGCGTCTCGTGTCGCAAAGGCGGCGCAGAGGAGGCCTGTTCACAGGCGGAGGTGTGAAGGGGCGCCGTTCACAGCCGGAGGTGTGAAGAGGCGCAGAGGAGGCCGAGGTCGTTGAGCCGGCCCTGCACGCGCCGCGCGGACGAGTAGACGTTTCGCCAGACCGAGTAGGCCTGCGAGAGGAAGAAGGAGAGGACGAAGGAGACGAGGGACGAGGCGAGCAGCCAGACCTTCTCCAGCGGCGAGAGCGACGACGCCAGCGTCATGCGCCAAGCAGGGTGCGTCCAGGCGGGGCCCGGCATGGTGAGGAAGAGGGCGATGGAGCAGGCGACGGCGGTGTTCCAGATGACCTCGCGCGGCAGCACCCTCCGCACGATGGTGCCGGACCACTGCCTCCACAGCCACGCGCGCTGCGGAAAGTACTGCGGGATAATCGGCGCCGAGGCTGCGGTGGAGGAGGCGAGCGATGCGATCTCCTTGAGCTCCTCTCGCGTCCCTCGAGCACGACTCCACAGGTCGCCGCCGTCGATCGCGATGTTGCTCGTCGGCTCGGCCGCCGCCTGCAGCGGCGTCTTTTCGACTAGCCTCGCCGTCCGGTTGACGAGGGTCGCGGTGCCGTTGTGGAGCCATTCCGGCACCCACGCCGGAGCCGACAGGAGAGCCGTGTGCGAACGTGGCCGCCGACTGTTTGCGCGCAGTAGCGCTGGACGGTGAGCCGACAGCCGCCACTCGGGTCGCGGAGGCGCAGCGCTGCCAAAGTGCGAATGGTGCAGCGCGGATTGGGATATAGCTGTGATAAGGAGCGCGAGGTGCGACGGCGACATCGAAACGGGGGGTGGCTACGCGTTCTCCGGGCGCGGCGGTGCTGGACGGCTCCTTCCTCAAGTGTGGTGGCAGCAGTCGGTGGCTGCTGCTTCGCCGAGCTGCTAGCGATAACTGATTTTCTTTTTTACTTGGTCCTAAGGCACCCGGCGGCCCCTTCTCTAGTTCTTCTCTGCCTCATTTTTGTTGCTTTTTTTGAAAGGAATCAGGAAACTTACACGGCGCACGCGAAAAAAAAGCAAAAACGGCGTCCCCGCCCACGCACTCCGTGGCTGCCGGCATCGCTGAGGCTTGCTCACACAGCTGAGCGTGCCCGAGGCCACTTCTTGAGACTGGCAACTGAAGGGTGGGCCACCATGCTCAACTCGCTCTCCAAAGAGCGCATTCGGCCGCTCGTCGAGCTCAACGACCGCATCAATGCGCTCACCAAGGAGGAGGGCTCCATCAACTCGACTCGCATTGTCGTGGTTGGAGACCAGAGCCACGGAAAGTCGTCGCTCCTGGAAGCGCTGAGCGGCGTCGACCTCCCTCGCGGTGAGGACATCAAGACACGCGTACCGCTGGTGATGCAGCTCCGCGAGAGTACCGATGGCACCGAGTACGCGCTGATCTCGGTCGATCAGATATGCTGGCTCCGCACAAAAGTCGTGCAGAGCCGCTTCGGACTGAGAGCATAATTGGCAGCCGTCGACTGGCTGGCCGGCCTCCCCGAGCAGTGGAGAGCGTCGCGCAAGACGGTCACGAGCTACATCATGTACGGAGGTCATGGCACATGGCCCATCCGATGTCGCGCCGAGGGATACCAGCGAACCTCCTCTTTGCCGGCATCTTGAGCACGCCAGCAGCGCAGCACAGGCGTGAAATCATTCGCAAGTCGTGGCTCGACCCGCTGATGCACGGCTTCAGCTATGCGTTTGTTGTTGGATCTGGTGGAAGTCACTCGGCCTCGACAATTGCTGCACTCCACCGCGAGCAATCACTGCGATCCGACGTGATGCTGCTCACGACTACCGTGGACAGAAATAGCACAGCATGTCCATCGACAAAATGTAAAATCCAAGTCGGCAAAATATTCGACTTTTTCGTCACCGTGGCCTCGACTTTGTCGCAGTCATTCCTGTGGGTCGCCAAAATGGACGACGACGTCTACCTGCTGCAGCCGAATATCCTCGGTGAACTGCTTCCGCTCAATCGTACGGACGGATACTACGGTGCGCGATGCCCAGTCTCAGCGTACGGTAAGTATCCATCCAGAGGCGAATGGTTCATGTGTGGCATGTTCTATGCGGTGACGTGGGATGTGGTGCGATTGTTCCACCGCAACCGTGCCAGGCTGCCCCGCTTCGGCAAGGAAGAAAATGTCTTCAAAAAGACTCTTGCCGCTTATAAGCGAGGCTGCAACACGTACTACTGCGGTTGGACGCGTTGCCACGACGACGCAGGGGCGAAAGCGCGACACGGCGCGGAAGCTACCGGCGTTGGTGGATCGATCGAAAGGGAGCCGGACCTCGCAGACATAATGGTGCATCAGTGCAAGACGGATGAGCGGTGGCATGCCTTGGCAGCATTTTTCAAGCAGTCGAACGCCACTAATACTCCCGTACGTGCGAGCACCGCATCGCGTGTCGAGAGAGAGATTTTTAGCAATACCAAACAAATCTAACACTCACACGTCATTTGGGGCCTGGAGCCCGCGTGTCGTGGTGCTGACGCCTTTACATTCTGACACGTTAATGACTGTACAGTGCGCCTCTACACCCTCCCTCAGGGTGCGGCAGATTCCAAAGAACTTCCGCTACGAGGAGTTCCACGAAGTGACCGATCGTGAGCTGCGCGCCACCGGAAAGAGCTACGAGGGAGGGTTCGGGCCGAGGCTCGCCCAGTAGGGTAGGGGTGCACCCCCGGGGTAGGGGAAGGGGTAGGGGTAGGGGGGGTCGGCCATCACTGGGGACGTCCGGTACGCGCCCAAACCAGTGGGTACCCGGGTAGGGGGCACACAACCAACCCTAACAAGGAATGATCAGTCACCGACCACCTTGGCTGTTTGTTCACGATGCGCCCCGCTCACGCCACGAAGGCCCTCGACATCTCCGTCGGCACAAGGGTGGAGGCAGACGGCGGACTCACGCCTCTCGTCCTCCTCGTCAGTGCCGTTGCCGCGATTGGCGGCTTTGTGTTTGGGTACGACATCGGCGGCGGCGGTGGTTCCTTTGCGATGGAGGGTTTTCAGACGCAGTTCGGCTGGGCAAACAAGTCCGAGGCCGTGAGAGCCGATGAGATCGGATGGATCTCGGCGCTTTTGACTCTCGGGGCCGCCGCCGGCGCGGCGCCGTCGGGCATCCTCTCCGACCGTGTCGGGCGACGTCCTTGCATCATCACGAGCGCCCTCATCTTCTCGATCGGTGCGAGCCTGCAGGCCTTCGCGTCGGGCTCGCCGTCAGCGTCGCTGGCCCAGCTCTATGTCGGCCGGCTGGTCGGAGGGTTTGGCGTTGGCATGCTCTCGACGACGGTGCCAGTCTACATCGCCGAGTGCGCGCCCGGCAGCTGGCGCGGCTCGCTCTCGATGTGCTGGCAGTTTGCCATCGTCATCGGCATCGTAGTCGCGAGCCTCGCCAACGTGCCTCTCGCGCACTGGGATCAGGGGTGGCGCGTCTCGTACGGCGAGCCGCCGCAGCTCTCTGCCTGCCTCTCTGCCGTGGCCGTCTTCTCACCGCCGCCCTCGCGCCTCGCACAGGTGGCAACGTGGTCTTCGCCTTGCTGCTCGCACTGCTGATGGTGTGGATGCCAGAGTCGCCCCGCTGGCTCGGCCAACGCGGCCGCGAGGCCGCCCTCCGCCGCACCCTCTCGCGCCTCCGCTCCTCCACGCTCGCCGCGGAGGAAGAGGCGACGTCGATCGAGGCCAAGGCGGCCGAGGAGGCGGCGGGCGGCGCGAGCAGCTGGCGCGGCCTCCTCCGGCGGCCGCTGGCGATGCGGCACCGCATGCTGCTCGGCGTCGCGCTGCAGTGCTGGCAGCCGCTCGCGGGTATCAACGCGATCATGTTTTTCGCCCCCAAGATCCTGCTCGCCTACTTTAGCGCCGAGGCGCCGCCACACCCGGCTCCCTCCCCATATCTGGCAGCTTCGCCGCCACGCGTGCCAACACCCACGCCGCTAGTCCCAACGCCGCCGCTCTCCCCCCGCCGCCAGCCCGTGCCGCCGGCTCCACGCCGCAAACCCCATACCGCCCCCCTCCCGCGCCAGGCCGCCCTGTGGGGCACACTTGGCATCAACGTCGCCAACGCCGCCGCGACAGTCGTCGCGCTGGTCGGGGTCGACCGGCTGGGCAGAGTGCCTCTCCTGCTGGCGTCGGGTCTTCTGATGTGCGTCTGCCACCTGGCGATGGTCGCGCTGGCCCTCTCGCCGCCCTCGCAGCAGCTCGGCTACGCGGTTGTCTCGGTCGCGTCTCTCTTTGTCGCCTCGTTTGCGTTCGGGTGGGGGCCGCTGCCGTGGACGGTGTGCTCCGAGATCTTCCCCACGAAGTACCGCTCCAAGGCCACCGCGGTGACGACCGCCACCAACTGGCTCGTCAACACCGCCGTGGGCAAGGTCTTCCCGCTCCTCCCCCTCGCGACCGCCTTCGCCATCTTTGCCGCCGCCTGCTTCGCCGCCTGCGCCACCGTCTTCTTCTTCCAGCCCGAGACGGCCAACCTCGGCATGGAGCAGATCGACGAGGCGTTTGAGAGCCACCGTGTCCGCCGCGTCTCGGCCAAGCTCTGGAGCGCCGACCGCCGCGCGAGGATCCGTGCGGAGGGGCGGCGCCGCATGCGCGCCGCGGCGGGTGCCGCGGTGGTCGCCTATGCGTCGGAGGTCCGCGCGGCGGGCGGGGACGGCGCGGCGGGGGTGGGGAAGGGGGAAGAGAAACGGGAGTCCATCGTGTGAGGGACTCCGCCATCAGTAGGAATGCGATATGCGTGTGGAGCGACGCAAGGTGAGCACATTCCCACTTGTAATTTATTTCCAAATTTGTGCTTGGAGGATTGGACCATGTGGAAGACGGCTAAAGTAGTGCTAGTCCCCCTCCCCCATCGGGAGGACGACCCCGGCTAGTCGCCGACCACACCCACAAAGAACCCTGCACAAAGATCGCACGGGCGGGGACCTGTTCCTTTTTACCCATCTCACAGTAGAGAGAGGTGTCCGTTTTTAGTTATTTATTTATTGGAGGATTGGAGGCGAGAGGGAGAACGTGCGCCCGCGTCGTAAAGCCACGTATAAAGCCGTCAGACCGGGCGTTTCTTTTCGATTTCGTTGCTAGAAAGATCTGCTCTTCGCTCATTCCAGAGATTCGTCTTCTGCTGCGCACCTCAATCACCAGGTACAAAATAGTTGAAGCGAGACCCGCGCCATCTTCTGCTCGCGGTCGCTGGCAGCGGCCGGCACGGGTGCGGATCGCAAGGCGGAGGCTCCCACTGGCAGTCCTCCGGGAAGAGCGGCTCGTACCCGAGCAGCTTCCGCACCACCAGCCACCCGAGGTCCCAGTCGAAGTTACCTGTTCACAGTCCAGGCGATGTGAACGGCTCCGCTTCGCCCGTGGCCGTCGCCAAACGGCAAGCGATCTGTTGCGCCGACGTCGCCCCAATCAAAGTCGGGCGGATCCGCCGTCGGAAGAAAGAGCCAGCCGGGCACGGTGGGCGCGCAGAGGCACGGGAAGAGAAAGCAGCCGCGCACGAGGGCGGTGTAGGCGAGGTAGGCGAGGGTGACGGCGAGGCCGACCATCGTCATCGCCGGGCCCGTGCGCGGTGGGCAGGCAACGG